ACTTTTTTTCTCAGGAATATTCTAAAGTTTTAATTAAAACTTTCAGTAGAGCCTTGCAGATATGCTGTTACTGTCCACTAATGTTAGGTAAATAGGGAGAACATTCACTTTTCCCAGCCACTTAGAAACTCCTTAGAGTCTGGAACATCCTGAAGAAGAGTAATTTCCTGTAAATTTCTCTAGTTCATGATCTGCTTAATAGTAATGTACAAAACATCAAAATGTTGTCGGGAAAAGCTTCCTCACTCTCTTACAAGATTTTAATGATCTCCAATCAGAGCACAGATTTTCAGCTGGGATCATGTAATCCTATGCAATAACTCTCTCTTTTTTTCCATTAAAGAGAACTATAAACATATTGTTCATTGTCCATCTGTCAGCTATAAACTAATACATGCTAATTCTTTAAAACACTGTTTATTGTGCAGTGCCAAGACAACACTATTTCCTAAATAAATGAACTCACATTTATGACCCATTATCTTGGAATAATAATAATTTAGCTGCTTCTGTCTCACTTTTTGTTTATTATATTTTAGGACAAGCAAAAATACATTAGGAAAGCAAAAAAAAGAACCATTTTAAAAGTAAACTTCAGGGTTAGGTCATTTATTACTTTGATTTCTGGGCTTTTTGAGAATTGTATATATGCAGGTGTTATATTCTAAATGTATTTAAAATAAGTTCTAAAGTTTTATTTATAAAAATATTTTTAAAAGATTTTATTTATTTATCTTTAGAGGGGAAGGGAAGGAGAGGAGAGAAATATCAATGTATGGTTGCCTCTCGTGCATGGTTGCATGCATTGGCCTGCAACCCAGGCATGTGCCCTGACTGGGAATTGAACCGCAATACTCTGGTTCGCAGGCCTGTGCTCAATCCACTGAGCTACACCAGCCAGGGCTATAAAAATATTTTTGTTGTTTCTCACTTTCCATGTATCTCATTCTGTTGCTCATGTGTCTATTTGTCGTGGAAACCTGAGCTGGATTCCAAAGGTGAACATGCTTCATTCCACAGCAGCGCCCAGAGAAAGGCACCTGATGCAAGGCTGGAAGAGGTTGCAGAGTCTTCATCAAACTACAGAGTTTGAAGCTAGTTTGCACTTCTTCGTCTTATGAATTTTTCACTCTGTCTTTCTTTAATGACCTACTTTTTAGGCACTGCTGTGTGCTCAACACACTTTTAGGTATTTTGAGTCATTTCTCTCTCTCCTCACACTAACCCTTAATATGGGATTTATCCTTACCTTACTGGTTCAAAGGTTGAACCTGAGTTTCAATTAAATTAAATCTCTGACTTTCAGGTAGTAAGAGAGCTTTTACCACCCAAAGATAAGGAAGAAGTTCTCCTGAACTTTAGGAGCTTTTATTCCCATAGAGAGTTAGAAAATTAAACATAAACACACTTACACACATACACACACACCCCTCTATAACAAGAGGTATTGTGTGATAAATTATATAAAGGTCATTAAACTATAGTATATGGAATCTTTTCTTTCCTTAAATTTTGCATATCCAACATTTTAGCTCAGCAAACTAGATTATGTGAGAGGTCTTAGCCAAAGATATGTGCAACGTACACCATGTGTGTTTTAGAAAATTCCTAAGGCTTAGACTAGCCTCTGTGCACCTGTGAGCTGTGGCAACAGGATCAAAAGTCATATAAAAAGACAAAGGCTAGAGAATGCAACGTCGGATCCTAACTACTGAGATTCAGAAGTCGACCAAGTACTTAGGATTCAGAACAAATGGGTCAGGAACTAATCCGGGAGAAATGGGATACAGAGGTACCAGGTGGCCTTGCATATCAGGATAAAATAACAGAGAGAAAAATGTAAAATAAAGCTTCTGTGTCAGCCAAGAAGAGTCATTCATGTCCTGCTGAGGTAAAGCTCTTCCTCACCCTGCTGTCGGGAATGAGTAATTCCCTATGAAGGGATGGGATGGGAGTGGACCTGGCCCAATGGGGGGGAGGCCAAGGACACACTGGGAGTTATTGAAAAAGTTTGATTTAAAATTTAAAAATTGCTCTTTATACAGATATTCTCTGAGACAAATCTTTTGGATTTATGTAGAAATGATTATATTTTAACTGTAGCTTAGCAATCTTAAAGTAATAAATTTGTTTTTGGGTATTTTTACCCAATACTTTTTTTGTTAAAGACATTCCTAGAAATGATACTAAGCCAGTATTTAGCTACTATATAATCATCATCATCATCATTATCATCATCATTTGTCATTTATAAAATACTTACAATGTGCTAGATATTTTTCTAAGTGCTTTGCATACATTGTCATATTTAATTCTTGTGTCAAGCCTAGAAAATGGGTATGATTGCTATCTACTTTATAACAGATAAGAAACTGCAATCATAGAAACAATTATCCGGAGATCATATACCTAATAATTAATGTATGTAGCCAGGATGCAGACCACTGATTCCGTCTCACTCTAGAGCATGTGCTCATATGATTATAATATTTCCCTTACTACCTCTTAGAGTTAAAATTTAGGATTTTTTAATTTGAATTTAAATGATATAATAATCCCATGAACAAAAAGCAAAGAAAAAGATACAATACCAAAACTGCTACAAAGAAAAAAATGTAATACCAGCACTGTTTATCTATTCATTGTTAAATTATTTTAAAAGTTATGTCAGACTGATTTTCTTTTTTACTATAAATATAAGAATGAGAAAGATAAAGTCCCCCAAATACAGTACAGTATCTGTTGAACAGTTTAATAGTTTTGAAAATTTTCTTGAAACATTTACCTTTCATATAAATGAAATGTTCAAAAAATATATAAATAAAAAGAAAGACTTTCGTTTATGTCTCAACTTGAGATCAAATTTACTGTTAATACATCTGATGAAAACACACGTACACGGTGTGTGTGTCCATAGTAACACGGAGAGTGTTGACCCACCCACTGGAATGCTGTCAGACAATAGCTGGCAATGGCTGAGGACATTTTCAGTGAAAGTGTAAATTTTTCAAATAGTTAAAACTTTTTTTAGTTTGAAAAAGAATGTCATTGACTAAATGTTCTCCAAATGAATCCATTTTAAGTAAATAATCTTCCTTTTAAAATAAAACATGGGAGTTCCAGTTACCTAGATAGTTCCTGGGGGATGGGAGGAAGCAGCATTTTTTTTTTGTTGAAAGTTTATTTATATTTTTTGTAATAATTGGGAATTTATTCAACAAAATGGACAGTTAAAGTGGGCTAAGATAGGCCTCTTTTTACCTAATTTGAATGTATGTTTCTAAATTAAGAATTTGATTATTAAAATTTTATGAAGCCTTAGAAATAATCCCTTCATCTGACATTTGAAGAAAAGCATCAGTTGTTATTTCAAAAATATATAACTAGGTGCCAGAAGACTGCAGCGAAAAAAAAACAGGTGGTTCAAATGTAATATAAAGAAATGTCCTATGATCCATTTGATCTCAGCCGAAATATTTATATCTGACACTTGCAGTGAGTTGATGTTCATGCAGACCTGTTTATTAGGTAATGATTCTTAAGTCACAGTAAATGGTTTCTGTAAGATAACAGTGTTCTAAGCTTTGTGAAATCGACCACTATCTATGATTAGAGAAATCTCTGTTACAAAATTGACAGATAAGGATATTTCAGTATTATGTTTGAAGTGTACATAATTAAAGAAAAATCTATTAGCAGATACACTCTTAACCCAATAATAGCTATCAGGAACATAGTAACACTGGCTGAATGTTTTTACATTATGTCTGATGCTAGGCATGTATTACATTCGACCCTTGAACAACACTGGTTTGAAGTATGTAGGGTCCATTTATACATGTTTTGTTTTGTTTCTGTAAGTACAGAAAATCTATTTTCTCTTATCATTTTCTTAACAATTTATTTTTTTCTAGCTTTATTGTATGAATACATATATAGTACATTTAACATACAAAGTATGTGTTAATGGACTGTTAATGTACTCAATATGGCTTCCAGTAGACTGTAGGCTATTAGTAGTTAAGTTTTGAATGAGTCAAAAGTTATATGATGATTTTCAACTGCTTCCAGGGTGATAGTCAAGTCTTCTAACCTCCATGTTGTTTAAGGGTCATCTGTACTTCTAATTTTGAAAACAACCCTGTAAAGAAGACATTATTCCCATTATTTTATAAACAGGGTTTTAAAGATTAAATAATTTGCTTAATTTTACTCAGCCAGTAAGAGGTTTCCTTACTCCAGGTTTTCCAGACTCCATAGTCCATTATGTTTTTCATCCCAATGTAATTAACATAAAGCATCGATGATGGTTTTCTATTTACCAGAATATTTGAACATCCAGAACACCCTACACCCTGGCTGTCCCAGATAACTGCCTAATCATTTCAATTCCAGGAAATTTGAATTGAATAAATAATAATGACATTTTCTAGTATTTCTAGGATTCATCAAAATTCCAGCAATCATTCAAAAGCTAAACTTTCTCTTTCCTCTTGGCTTTTATTAAAAAAGTTAGTATTTTATGATTAGATTTTGTATTATCTCTAGGTTTTCAGCGAAGCATAATGGATTAAAAAGGAAGTTAATGATTACCAAAATTGGTTTTTATAAGTTACCATGGCAAGTTTACTATAAGTCTTTTTTTTCAAATTTTATTCAGAAATAAAAATATGCTACTTCCTAACATTAAGCCAAATGTTTATTTCCCAGATTTTACCTAAATATTCTTCCCTGAGGCCACTGCTGTTGTGAAACTATTTCAATGGCCTTCATTGGGGTGTGGTGAAAATGCTCTAATTGCCTTTGCTTAAAAAAAAAGGTTTTATATAAATTGAATTTTTCTTTTAGGATAATTGCCATTCACTTTTGTTTTATATGCAACTGAGTGAGGTTTCGCAGTATCCTCTGTGGACAATAAAGTACTGAAATAGGAGAAGCTAATAATTGCTTTGTGTGGTAATACTGACAACTTCTGCGTATTTGTCAATCTGTGTTAACAGTATCGATCAGGATGGGATCCTCATAGAGGGGCAGATAACATTTCCACTAAATCTTCGGACAGTGATGTAAGCGATATATCTGCGGTTTCAAGGACTAGTAGTGCTTCTCGTTTCAGCAGCACAAGCTACATGTCTGTCCAATCAGAGCGGCCGAGAGCAAACAAGAAAATCAGGTGAGTGAGGGGACTTGTGCAGGAGACTCTTCTAAGTACGTGTTAGGAGGTCTTTCTTTTTCTTTGGTAATCATAATATCCTCTATTTCTAAAGGTTAGTGTTTGTCATGGAGGCAATAAGAACTTCTATAGATATTTTTAATTTTGTTTTGGTCTACCTTTCAAACTTCTTGCACAGGCAAATTTTATAGAACTTACAGTTTTCTTACTAGCGTGCTTGAATTGATACCATTAGTTATTTTCTAATGTCTTCTTAAAAAAGTAACTGTTATACATTCATTGAGGTTAAAGTGACGGTTCTGTGAAGACTTGAATTTTGCAATGTTCTATGAAATATGAAAAATAATATTTGGAGGGATTATTTTCCTAGCTGAATATATTTCAGTGATTCAGAAAACATAAGAATATTCTTTTTTTAGTAGGTTGCTCCTTAGACTCCTGAAACTCTTATAAATACATGGAAAAAGTCCTCAGCTCCTCAATATTTACAAATCTTAAATATATGCCTGTATAATTTGTGTTTATCACCAGACCTATAGATTTTATGGGCACCTGAGATAAATTATTTTTTTACTTGTAAGTATCAAAAAAAAATCTATAAGAGACCACAACTTTTTTCTGTGCAACTCTGTAATGGGAAAATGTGATTTAAAAACAATCAGGATGAAGTATTGCTTACACAAGTGCTTCTCTGGTATACTGGAAACAAAAGTTTCAACATTTAAAATTTGTCATTTTTATTTATGTTTTAGTAGTTTTTATTTCCTTTCTGTTTAAGTTTGTATGCATATTTTTTCTTACTTTTTCTTCTTTGTGTTTATTTGCATGCTTTCTTTTGATTTCTGTTGCTTTCAAAGGCCAAAGGGAGTAGCGGAGGGAGGGACCGAAGGGGATAAGCATGAAGAGGTAGTTCATGAGGAGGAAGAGGTGAAACAAGAAAGAACTGATGAGAATGAGAAAGGGAAAGAGGTTACAGAAACGTCCAATGAGGAACACAGAGAATCGGGAGATGAGGAAAAACCACGAGATACACCTGAGCAAGGGAAAGACAGAGGACAGTGGAGCACAGAGGATTTGCAGAGGCGATGCTCCCAAAATGGTGACAGGTAAAATGTGCTCACCTTTGTAGATGTGCCCCAGTAGTAATGTAGTCTCTTTTCCTGTCCCTGAAAACTGTTTTGTCTCTTACATTTGGCTCATTTTCTTGTGTTTTCTGAATTTATATTCTAATACAACTAATTAGTGTGTTGGCAAATTACCATCAAATAGATCTATTTACTAAACAATCTTTCATTTGTATCAGCTAGTTCTGAGAGTCTGAATTATTGGTTTTCAAGTTATTTAGGATTAGCCAAACTAAATTTAAATTTTCATTTAGTTTATTTTATCATGAATTACCATCTATCTTCCCCATTTGTACAGTCAAAACCTTTGAAATGAAGGTCTGAAAGGGCTGAAAAAATGAGCTTACTTTATAAGAAATATTACGTACTGGAAATTAATTTTTTCAATGAGTCGGCAAATAACAACAACAAGTAAACTTTATTCAATCTGTAGCTCTCTTGCCTGTTAGTTTTCTGGTGGGTTCTGGCGCAGTTTTGAGTCCTAAGAAAGATCGCACAGCTGAAAAGGAAGGGTAGATGCCCCAGGGTTCAGTAGAGGCAGACATAGTGGGTTAGGCCCCTCTCAGAATTCCTTCAGCTAGAGAAACTGCCAAAGAAGAGAATTTGAACAGGGGATAAAGGCAAGGAAAAAGAAACAGGAACAGCAAAGGTATAAAGCAACCATGCTTTTTTTCCCATAATGCGAAGAACTAAAGATGAAGCTGTCTGTACAGGGTTCTACTGAAGGTCAGATCAGCACAAGTACACAGAAAGACTTCGGCCTTGAGCTGAGGGCATGGGTTTCTCTAATTACATTTATCTGAGACTGAGGATTGTGAATCCTGCACACATTGGAGGAATTGGGGTTTCTCTTCAGTCCACAATTTGATTTTGTGTTAGTACAAGTCGTCTTGATAAGCACACCCTGTTATAAGCCAAATTTTGCATTAATATATCTTAACCCAGTATCAGTTTGTACTTTATTCTTATCAATGAGAAAGATAATTGGGACAGATGTTTACACCTTGAGTATGCTGTTCAGTGCTTTAGTCTATGATACTTAAAATTTGTCTCAGATTGGTATATTTAACTATATCACTGCTCTGTGAAAGTTTCTGTATAACAGACACTAAACCTAATACTGAGTATTAAGGTAGGCATATTTTGTGATTGGAGTCTAAATTATTAATTTCAGTCTTTGTTTTTTATTCTTTTTTAAAGATGTTATTTATTTATTTTTAGAGAGAGAGGGGTGGGACGAGAAAGAGAGGGAGAGAGTGTGGTAGCCTCTGGCCTACAACCCAGATCTGTGCTCCAACTGGGAATCGAACTGGCAACCTCTTGGTTTCCAGGCCCATGCTCAATCCACTGAGCTATAGCAGCCAGGGCTCTCTTTATTTTTTATTTAACTTTTGATAATTGCATTAGTTGATATAGTAAAATCCATTTTACTGATTTGCAGGGCACAGGATCGTTTTGTCATGATTCACGGGGAAAAGCTTTCTAGTTTATCCTCAGAAAGAGATGCAGTTTTCTTTTGTCTACACTGTCTAAATGAGAACACGAGTCCATTGATGTTTGCCTGGGGCCAAAAGCCTATATAGCCATACTTGGCTTGGATAGAGGTTTAGAGAAGGTTAGGACCTAAATTTCTAATTTCTAAACAATTTTTACCCAAGGACATTTTTTCATTGCTTTTAAAGAGAAGGAAAGGGGGAGGGGAGAGAGAGAGAAACATCGTTTGCCTTCTCCCAGCACTCTAACCAGGGATCAAACCCACAACCTGGGTATGTGCCTGATTGGGAATTGAACCCACAACCTTTCTGCCTAAGGGATGCCGCTCCAACCAACTGAGTCACACCAGCCGGGGCCTAAGTTTCCGATTTTTAATATTACTTTCTTCATCACATTCTTCAGGTAGGGAGTGGCATTATTTTACAGGGAAAGGGAAAAGGTGCTATGTTTCTAACAGTTTGAGTTATCAAGGCATTATATTCAGTTTGAGTAGCTGTAGCATATTTCTGGAACTGTTAACTGTAGGGGCTCGAGCTGATCTCTCCAGGGAACATATATTCCATAAGATGGCAACAGTGTCAACTGTAATTTTGCTAAGAAAATGGTGTGTCAGACTGCAAATAGGATCTTGAATTTGCTTTCATTTCTTAGAATAAAACTAACAATCTGTATTCTGAGAGGAAATATATTTGAGTAATCCCAGTGTCATTTTGTTTTAATAGTGGTTAAAAATAATTGTACAATTGTTTATAATTGTACCTAAATTGCTAAAAACAACTTATGTGCTTAGACAACATTATTGGAAACAATCATCTTCTGTAATACACCGTGGACATTTTTATGCCTTTTGCTTATAATCTAAGTTTTTGTCAACAAAAAAGGTTTTTGACGTCAGAGTTTAAGTATTTATAGTACTGTTACTACTTAAAGTTGTAACAGTAGTGACTACATAGTGACTACAATGAACAAAATTTATTATAGTTGCTATTTTTATTATAGTATTCAGATCTCATTGCATGATACAGAATTATGTTTTCTGTGTTCTGTTAAGTCAAATTAACATACCGTACATCTTCTCAATTTACAAGTAGAAAATGAATAGCAAAATGTAGACTCAAAGTTCATTAAATATTTAAATATAGTTGTCCTAAGTTGATAATAATATATTCATACTTAGCTATTTATATTTATACAATGTATATAGGTCTGGTAAAATGCCCCTATATTATTAATGATGATATGGTGAACTCTAAAAAATCTGGATTTATATTTGCCATTTAAAATATTTTACTCACTCTGTGTAATCTTAGATGTAAAACTTTAAATTTTACGTCTATTTACATTTACTGATTGTATGCCAAATACATGTTGTAAGCTGGCCTGGGAGGGCGGGAAAGAAGTAATGAAGTAAGAATAAATTACTCATTTAACTATTTACTTAGAAAATTTCTCAGGCAGTGTACTTAAAATTGGAAATGGAAATGAAATTAAATATTTTCATACTTTTAAGCCTGAGAGTGAAGTAGTTGTTTAACCTTTGATGGGTGGATATTTAAGGGTAGCAGCATATCCAAAACATGTCATCAGGATACCTAAACAAATTCATAAGAAGTTGTGACAGAAAATTTGTCAACAAAAGGGGAGAAATTAAATTCGCAGTGGAAGGTAGACAGAACAAATACTGAACATGGGGCATTGCCAAAATCAATGATACTGGTAGCTTTGTCAGCCAACTAGACTCTTAACTCATTCTTCCAGACTCTTTTTCTGGAGACATAAGACAAAAGAAAAAAAATTCAAGAAACTCATTCTCTGTAAATTTTCAGTTCTAAAGCATTTTTATAAATGCTATGGAATTATAATTTGTCTTTTGGAAGGGATTGTCCTTGAGATGGAAAATTTTTAAAGGAAAAAGCATCAGTTTAAATTTTCATGAATAGCTGTTTTTAAGAAATTAAGCCATCTAAATTATCAAGCAAAAATTCTCATCTTTAGAAGAGCAATCAGAATCATTGTTAATGAAATATTTATTGCTGTTAACATATTATTTTTAGAAAATACACATTCATGGCTATGTAACAGAACTTCATGTGTATGGCATTTGTGTGCCATACCTTTAAAGGGAAGCAGTATGTTTCATGAAAATAATTGTGGATTAGGAATCTAAGGTATCTGGATTCTCATCTTAACTTTGTCACATATACCTACTCACTTTATCTGCCTGGGCTTTTTTGCTTGTCAAATAGAGGAATGGATGACTCATGTTTTCTTTCATAGATGGATATAGAGCACAGAAAACAGGAAAGTAAGCATCTTTAGCTGTACCGATAATTATTATCATGAACTCAAAATATAATAGGTTCTGTGGCTAACCACTAATAG